TATCTTGGGCTCACAACCACAAGCTTGATCTTTGTGTCTAAATTAATTAACTTTTCAATTTACTAAGAAAGTATTACTCCGTAATAGATACGGAGTAATTAATTTGGAATGAAGGGAGTACTTTCTAGTTCACATTTACTGTGGGAACTATTTATGAAATCAGAGTTTACAAAGTTAATAAACTTAATGAGTTTATTGCATCAATACCCCTATGATTTGGTAAATGTACACTATTATCCTTATGATATCAAAGATTACGTCATTGTCCCTGTGGTTCTAATATTCTTACGTCAATCCCTTTATAGACTAAAATACCCTTCAGACATCAAATGAATATTTCTGTTGCCCCTTATGGTTTTAAAAATGTACACCAACGACCCTTCCCTTTTTTATTACTTCTTTTTTTATTTTCTTTTTTTCTTAAAGAGAAGAGAAATGTTTGTGTTTGAAATAATGAGAACCTGCTTTTCAAAACTATTTTTTAAAAAAATGTTTTAGAAATGAAAAATTTTTTGTGCTTGAAACAAAAAATTAAATAACTTCATTTGTCTCAAATTAAATATATTTCCGTTTTTGTCTAGAAAAATTTCTTTTTTGAATCTCTGGGGACCAAAAGAATACAATATATAAAGTCTCTTTAATATTTAGATAAATATATATTCATAACATTTTTTAGACCAATTGGCAACAAATTTCCTTGACTTAATTTTCCCTATTCTATAAAAATATTTTTTAAATGCTATTATTTTCTGAGTTTTATTTTCTATTTTTTTATTTTATTTTAATTTTGATTAAAATAAAAGAAACTCTATAAAAAAAAATTTTAAAATCAAGATGAGAAAAAAAGAAGCGACAAAATGTGAATTGGGCTTCAGTACAAAAAAAGTAAAAATGTTTCATTGCATTTCTATCATGAAAAATGAACCAATAAGAACCTTTTTTTTAAAAAATAAAATTATTTAATTTGAGACAAATGAATTGTATGTGCGCTAATTCTTTTTATTTTATTCATTATTTTTTCGAACGCAAAATTTTTTGATTATTAAAATAGTACGGAGTATAAAAATAGTTTTAAAAAATAGAACTTAAAAACATTTATGAATTTTTTAAAAATGGAATTTAAAAAACATTTATGAAAAAAGATTAAAAAAACAAAAAATAATAAAGGAAAAAGGAGATGGGGTGTTGGTGCCATTCCAAAACCATAGGAGGCGAAGATATTCATTTAATATTTGAAGGATATTGTAGTCTGAACAGGCATTGACATAAGAATACTAGAATCACTGGGGACAATAAAGTAAGTTTTGAAATCATGGAGGCAACAATGTACATTTAGCAAAAAGAGGTATTGGTGGAATAAACGCTAAACTTAATTAATTTTCATTCGCCATTGGTGTGTGTGTGTGTATAGATACACACACACACACACACACACACATATATATTCGTACTCCTTCCTTTTTAATAAACTATTCCTCTTTCATTTTTTCATTTTTCCAAAACACTTTCACTTTCTATTAAAAAAATACTTTCACTCATATCTTTTCATACCCTACCTATCTTATCATATTTTCTGACTAATGATCAAAGTATCACATCTAGGGGTGTGCATTATTCGCTCCAGACCCGGACCGACTCAAAACCCAGCCAAAACTGGACCAGATTGGTCCTTATTCGGTCGGGTCTTTGGTCCTCACTTTTTCCTTATTCGGGTTCCGGTCAGGTCTAGTCCATCGGGTTTCGGTCTCGACCGGTGGATCGGTTACATTTCATTTTTTTAAATATTTGTTTTTATATAGTTTTATAATATAGTTTTATTAAAATTTTTTTCTTATACTTAAAATTAATTTAATTTTAATACTAAAATCTTTTAAATGTTTTTAATTTATTATTTAATATAATTTTTTTAATATATTCCAATTTAAAATAAGATACATATTTTTGATGTGAAAAGTGTGAAAGAAGTAAACATTACCTTTATATTAGCGATCTAATGCATTTCAAATTTATGTACCAATACTATAACTTAAGTTTGTACTTTATCAATAATAAAACTCTAATCAACAAAGATAAACATTTTAAACAATCTCATGAACAAAAATAATAAAAATGAATCAGTTTGCCAAAGTAAACCGAAAACACAAAAAAAATGTAACACGGGTTCCATTCGATCATGCTCCTCCTAAGCCTGAAATTTTATGAGTTTTGTTTTGGTGATTTTAGTATCATCAGCAGCTATTTTATGCAATTGGTCTGGGTTTATTTAGATCATACAAAAATTTAAACAGAAGTTGTCAAACGAGTTATTAGGAGGTGCGGAGTGCATGCTCATTCAACGAAGCGTCAAGGAAGCGATAGCCCCTGGCGAGATCCAAGGGGCACAACCCCTGATTGGGTTAAAAAATCCTTCAGATTTTCGTGAATGAAGTCCCAAACATTTAAAATTGAGACGCATGGATAAACCTCCAGAATTGATCCAAAAACGCAAGAACCTATTTGTGCGAACATACATGTCTGTTCATGGTGTTTCGTGTCATGTGCTCATGTCTATAAATATAGATATGGGATATGGTTGAAGTATTTATTTTTGATATATCTCGAAATAATTTTTATTTGAAAGTGTTCTGCGATTTTTGTTACGGAGTATACTCTATCAAGCTGTTCATCTCGTTCATCATTTATAAACTATGTAACACTCCTTCGTAGCTTCTCCCTCTATTTACCCCGATTTTTCTTGGATCAAACTCATGGTAGACACAATAAAGAAGTAAACACCAACTATACATCATTCAATTTTGCACTTCCAAAACTTAGAAGTACATTATCCAATATTGTGGCATAGACCAATTTTGCTTAGAAAATGCAAAACTAAATTGGTGTAAACTTTTCAAATACCTCGTATTACTTTAAATCATTGAAATAGAACTATAGAAGGCTACATGTTCGAATCATAATGGTATTGGCATGGACTCTTTTTCCGTCTCAATTTAAATCACTTATTGTTGTTGATAGAATTTTATTAAAATGGTTTTCAATTCATTTTATTTGAAGATTGATGCATTGTAGTCTGTAGATTTAAAAAACGAAATTTATATTTACTCCCTCCGTCCTAAAAAACTCATAGTTAGACTTGATACAACATTTAAGGAAAGTAAAATGTATAGTTGAAAGTAATGCATAGAAGAGAGAAAGATTGTGAGCCACTCAAAGTTTTTCATAAAAGCAAGAAAAGGCTTTTTTTGAACATTCCAAAAAGGAAATAGAGAGTTTCTTTTGGAACGTATGGAATATTTAGGGGCTGTTTGTTTCAGCCTCTTAATGGTTCAGATGTCTGAATGGTTCAGCACTTAATGGTTCAGACTGTTTGTTTCGTGAGCAGATGTCTGAATGGTTCAGAAATTTGCCTCTGAATGGTTAAGTATTATACAGAGTCTGAATGGTTAAGACCTCTTATCTGAATTGATCAAACATTTGCCTCTGAACAGTTAAGCAATATACTAGCTCTTAATGGTTCAGACCTCTTACTGATTCAGCACTTAATGGTTCAGACCTCTTACTGGTTCAGCACTTACCTATTCAGAAGTTGCCAAACAGCCCCTTAAAAATTATATCAAAGGTTCTACAAAACTAAAAGTAATATTACTATTTTATTTTATCAAATGAGTAGTAAAAATGGATAAAAAAATTGATTAAATTGTGACGATATGAATTTACGGAATACTTAAATGGGAATAGAGAGACTATATATATGTAATAGCTAGATTTATTGAGGTGTGTTAGGGGTATACCAAATTTATATCTCAATTTGCACACAAGAAGTCATTTTTAATGCATTTCAGAAATGTTTGTGTGTCTTTGATACACTTTTGGTGTGCAAGTTGAGGTACAAACTTAACGTACTCTTAACTTTTTTGTTTTAATATCGAAAACACACGCAAAAACTCAAATATGTGATTATCCAAAAAAAATTTATACTCACCTAGAGTCTTATTAGAGCATGAACAATGGTGAGGCAAAAATGGAATGCCACACGCTGCCGTGGAGCATTTCAACTAATAAAAAATAGTCCAGTCAACGAGTGGCACGTGAGTGGAGTGGCATGCCTTGCAGTGGCAAGTCAATGTTTTCATCACTTTTTTTCATATTTTTGCCATATTTGAATTATTAAAAATTATTTTACTTATATATTTTTATCATGAAAATATTTCTATTTACTCAAATAAATAATTTTTTATATATATTTTAATTATTAAAAATGTTTTTGTTATCTACTCCATATTTTTATTTATTCCTTCATCTCAATTTAGATTATTATTTTAGAATTACAATGCAAAAACTCTCTATTTTTAAAAATCATTTCATTTAAAAATTGGTATAAGAATTAAAAATAAAACTTATAAATTTAAAAATTATATCAAAATTTCTACAAAAAAGGATGTGACAAAATTTTTTTAATTAAATAATCAAAGAAAACATACAAATAAATAAAAGATATCGAGAGGTGAGGGAAAAAATTATAATCTATTGCGAGATGAAGAAAGTAAAAAATAATTCTATTACTTTACAAAAAAAATATTTTTTTTTGGAACCACTGCACAATTTCATTAACTCATCACAAATATCTTTCTCAAATAAAAATTGATGTTTATAAATAAATAAAAAAAAAAAGAATGCCACCCTCAAGACACTCCATGCATGGTAAATTGAAAATGACACCCGAGACAAAAAGAAAAAAGTGGAGCTTTGAGTTGAGGTGGCGTGGCATGGCAGTCGCCACTGCCGCTGCTCTCAGTCTCTTAGACTTACACGATTAGAGCATCAAGGGATCAAGCAATATTGTGTTGTGTAGCTTCAAATCATTCAATAGTAACGACAATAGACAAAGGAATATCTAAGAATGTTGGTTTACATGCATATGATTAAACTACTTTTATGATCTCCCAAATTCCAGATTTTATATATATATATATATATATATATATATATATATACTCAACTCCGTACAATTGTGCATGCACAGACATGACCCAAACAGAGCCTAATTAACAAATCCGGGTCGGATCAATATAACATTCTATACTGCTTGAATTGAAGATCCGGAGCATATCAAATTGTTTATATCAGATATAAAAAGGGTTCAATTTTTTTTTTTTTTGATTTTACAGGAATAACTGCTGCTCCATCATACGGCTGAAGTCCTCGAAGCACACAAACCCATCCTCGTTCTTATCCACTCCGCTTATCATGCGCCGGCACTCCTCTATCGTGCACCTCCCGTCCCCGATCCTCCCCAGCACCCTATACAGCTCCTCCGCCGAGATCCTCCCGTCCCCGTCCGCGTCGAACAGCTCGAAGGTGTCCCTCACCTCGCTCCCGCGCGACGGCGCCTCGAATGCCGGCCGGAGCGCCGCGAACTCCTCCAGGCTTATGCATCCGTCGCCGTTCCTGTCCACCTCGCTCATCACACAATCGATTTCCAGTTCCTCCGCTCCCAGCAGGCCGAACAGAGCCGCGAGCTCCTCCCTCTGAATCTTCCCGTCCCGGTTTCGGTCGATCAGGTTGAACGCCTGGACCAGCTCGTCGCCGGGGAATTCTTCTGCCCCGGCGGGATCGCGGGGGTTGCTGTTATTGGAGGAGCGGGATGAACCGGATCCGGAGCCGATGGAGATCGGGTCTCCGGATCGGGCGAATCTGGATTTGAAGAACTTCTTGGGGCTTGATGAGATGCTCTTGAGAAGCTTCATGCTAAAAAACGGAGGAAGAAGGGAATTGGCATGGACGACTGGCGGGCTTGGCGGCTTGGGTAGAAGAAGAATAAATGGTCAGGTTAAATGATGAGAGCAGAGGATGGGATACCCACCACCGGCCATGGTGAGCTTCCACGAAGTTTCGTTAGAGAGACTGACTTGTTGGAAAAAGAAAGAAAAAAAATATCAGATCAATGGTCATCATCATCGGGCGATCATTTTACTCGCATGATAAAGTACGCTCTACATTCTTCCTTTCATACTCCATAGTCCGTACTCGCCACCCAATCTAGCTAGTCTTTATTACGGAGTACTAGTTTAAAAAAAGGTACTCCCTCCCTAAATAGATTAAGATTTTTTTCACTCTCCTCTCGATAACTTTTGTTTGTTCGATAACTTTTGTTTGTTTACGTGATTTTATTTATTATTTGATAAAATAAAATATTCTTTTCATCTCTTATTTTGTAGAACTTTTGATGTAGTTTTTTTAATATGTACTCCGTAATTTTTATATTTTATTGATATACCAATTTGGAAATAAAATGATTTCAAAAATTGAAAAATTTTACTCCGTAACCCGCAATTTGTAATCAAATTAGGGACGGAGGGAGTATGTTACACTCGTTTCGTTGAATATAGTGAAATTCATTTCGTTGTAAGAATTTCATGATTTTATTCTCTAAATAATAATGCGACACTGTATATGAGCATTTTTTATACTTTTTGGTAATGTGCATCGTCATGATTGGTAATATAAATGCATTTTAACTCTTATTTCGAAAATTAAAAAAAAAGAACTTATATTTTGATATATTTTCGATTTTTACTACTACTTTAATTTTTTTTCCTTATTATACAACTGTATGTAGAACTAGGTATATTCAGTAAATTTTTATTTTCTATCAACATAATGTTCATTCTGAATCAATTTAGTGCTTATTCCAAACTTGTCAAGTGTAGTGTGTTTATTTTAAAATAACACAGTGTTTATTCTAAAACAACGTAGTGGTCATTCTGAAACATTCTTTAGTTACACGTTTGCCATGGACCATGGTGTACTCTACATCCGACTATGTCATATAATTCACACCCAATCTATGGGGTGTTTCTAAGAAGTTGTTCACTTATAATTTGCTTATAAGTTAAATATTTTTTCGTATAGCTAAATTGACTTAAATGATATACAAACCATTTAGGAATATTAATAATAAGTAAGACAATGAATATTAGCGTATGCGTTTAAAATTATTTATAAGCAATAAGACAATGAATATTAGCACAAAGAAACACTCTTTACCCATGGACTACTATATCTCCTATTTTTTCCACTTAGATATTCTTTTGTCAAATTGTATCATAGTATCGGAATTAAGGTTTTAAGAAACTTAGACTTTTTTTTTATCGTGCACATCGTCGATCTTTGTTCACAGTGGCCGATCATCCGGGAGCACGGCGTCATCGACCTATCTCGACAAGTATGCCTAACAGTCGCTGTCTATTATTCCTTTCTTACTTTACTCTCCAAGCGAGAAAATTCACTACAAAAAACTTGACATTTTGTGGCACCAAAATTTGCCACAAAACATTGAAAATAAGCTACAGTAACTGTTTGTAGCAATTTTAGAATTTGCCATAGCGTTGCCACAGATACCCCGTTACAAAAGGTATTTGTGGCAAATTTAAATTTGCCACAAAAATCATAGTTTTTGTGGCAAATTATGATTTGCCACTTATAATAATTTGCCACAAAAGATCAATTTCAATGGCACATTTTAGTTGCCACAAATTATAATTTGCCACAAAAAACATATTTAGAGCACTGATAATACCCGTGGCAAATTATTATTAGTGGGGTTGAAGCCAGGGCTTCAAACGAGAGCTTCAAACCTTGGGGCTTCAATTCACACCTTTATTTTTTACATTTTAAATACATATCTTCTAAAATTAAATTAATAAATTTAATTATTTAATTAGATTGAAACGAGAATGATTCATAAAAAAATTATAATCAATAAATGAAAAAATTAAAATGTTAATAATTCATAAAAATTGCATTCAATAGAAAAGAAGATTTAATAAAAAATACATTAATAAAAAAGTATGACAAATTATATTTAACCTTGATCTCTTTGCCTTCTCTCGGAAAAATATACGTTTGAAGCCTAATAACGTATCAATGTCGGTTTCCATTATTTCGATCTCTTCCTTATGTTGCCTTCGTTTCCCCTTCTCTTCTTTTCTAATATTGAACACCTGAAGTTGTTCAACCATTGCCCGATTGATATCGTCGTGAGAGGAAACAGAGCCAGACCCTCCAGAACCCGAGGCAATGGATTTTGCCCTCTTTCTTCTGATCTGCTGTGCAATGGGGTTCTCGTCATCAGAATTGTCTATGTTGAAGGGAGGCCTTGGTTCGGACGAACCGATAGTGTCATCGACTTCAGCCTCGGACTCGGCGAAGGATTTATTTTTTGAGGATTCGGCCTCGGGATTGTTGAGTTGTTTCCATTTTGGTGAACGGCTTAATGTTCTCCAAAGATCGACGAGCACCTTGCATTGGTGCCCTTCGTCTTGATACCAGGTGCCCGGAGAACAACGGCGTCGTTCGTCCCGCTCTTCCGGGACTGAAGGCATTCGTCGTATACTCCGATTAACTTTCAGAAGTGAGTTGGTCTCGGGTACGGTACGAGGCGTGCTTGTAACACCCTAGTCCGTCTAGGTCTACAGCCCTTTTGGACTAAAGTACAAAACTTGGTATTCGTAAACATTCAAAATATTTCAAACATTTTAAAACTTTATTTCATAATAAATTATTCAGAATAATAACGGAGTATTTAAAGTTACGGAAGCTTAATAAACCTCAATTACAGAACATAATAAATTTATGTTTTATAGAACAGTAATTCAAATTCACACGTCCATCCCGACCATCTCGCCTCATCTGCCTCCAAAAAGTCATCACTTCATTCTGTTTGTTTACCTGCATGTACCAAATAAAACATACTACACGCTCAGCGGTGAAGCAAAGTAAGGATATCTAATTCAGTTCAAGGATTCAACATTTATATTCAATAATGGTCTCAAATTTATTCTTAGTCTAAGGCCAATTTCTTGATGTTTACCATCTCTTAAATTAATTCTAGATTAAGGTACTTCTAACCAACTCCTAAACTATATTCTAGTTTAAGGTACACCTAACCAACTCTTAAACTACTCTAGTTTAAGGTACAATTTTCAAAAAGGTGTTCCAACTCTTAAACTTTATAGATTTTTTTTCCAATTTTTTATTTTTAGTGACAATTCTTTAAAGTTGCTACAATAGATATAATATTTTGCAGCAAATTCTTAATTATTGTCACAAATATTTGCAAACTATTTGTATATTATGGCAAATATCTATTTGAGTAAATTTCATAACTAGTTCTTCACAATCAGGGGTTTCCATATTTAGTCATTTATTATCAAATATTATCCTCATAACCCTTTTTTTAAGGGTGCCTTTCCACAAATAGTCCTTTTTTATCTTCTACCATGTTAGTGTTAATTTAAAGGCTAAAAGTATAATTTGGTATCAATATTATGTCTAGTGACGTGTTCTGATATTGGTTAAGCGGATAACACAAAAATAATGACTATGAATGTGGGTTAAGATTCCGATGAAAGACCACATTTTTAGACTATGCTTGTAGTAGAAAGCGATTATAATTCACAAACGACGCACACAGAATAGCCTTTGAAATTGTGTATGACGAGAAAGATATATGATCATTGTGAAATTATACTTTTAGCCCTAAAATTAACACCAACATGTTAGAAGATAAAAAAGGGACCATTTGTGGAAAGATACATATAAAAGAAGGACCACTGGGGTAATATTTGATAATAGAGGACTAAATAGGGAAACTCCCCTGTTATAAAGGACCAATTATGTAATTTATTCTCTTTATTTTGCCACTAAAATTGTGGCACAGAAAGTCATACTCCCTCCGTCCAAAATTAATGTTCTCACTTTGACTTGGCACGGAGTTTAATAAAAATTGAAATTTGCTTTGACTTCCCTAAAATGCCCCTCCACCTCTTTCTTCTTTTCCTATCCATCCATCTTCTCTTTGCAATGGGATTGGCGACAGGACCTCTCCCTGCTCCGCCACTAGCTCCGATGGCTGCTTTACCTTGTCAAATCTGATCGCTGCCTCGCTGCTAAACCGTCATCGCCTTCGGCTCCTTCAATTTCAAAAAAAAGACGAAGAAGGAAGAAGTCTGGGGCTCCTTCTTTCGAATCCAACACACCATCATCAATGTACTCCACCACCACGATAGATTTCTTCATCGCCATTGACCTCTTTCACAGATCTGAATCGGATTTCTCAGATCTGGATTGGGGGACAAAAAAAGAAGAAAAATGGGAAGGGGAGGGAGAAGAAGATGAAAAGAAGAAATGAAAAAGAAAATAAAGAAAAAATCGGGAGGGGGGAAGAAGAAAGAAGAGAAGAAAGAAAGGAATAAGAACAATCAAAAAAAGAGAAAGGAGAAGAAACGAGAGAAGAAAAAAGAAGGAAAAAGGAGAGGAAAAGTAAAAGAAAGTGAGGGTAGATATGTCTTTTTAACAAAAAGAAGTTACCAAAAAAGAAAATGGGAACTTTATTTATGGACGGACCGAAAAGGAAAGTGAGAACTTTATTTGTGGACGGAGGGAGTATTTTTTTATAGCGAGACTCTCTCTCTAGCTTCCCCGAATTGTCTCTCCATTTCTTTACCTTTTAAATCAAATTTTAGTGTATTGTACTATTGTGTAATCGATCAAAACATCCACCGCCAATAAAACGGGTGGTTTCCCAGACAATGAAAAAAACAAGCTACAAATTCCTAAATTTGAAAAGTATTAATACGGGTTTGGCAAACACGAGTTATGAAAAATTAATTGAAGTCGTGTTCGCGAAACACTGAGTTTGAAATATTAATTAACATCGTGTTCGTCGAACACGAGTTGTGTAAAAAGCATTATGTAAAAAGCAAAAGAGTTAACACGCGTGCTGCCACCCAACCTGTTAGATTCCCCACACCACCCAACATTTAATATGTCAGATTCCCCAAGACACCCACCCCATTAAAGTTGGTCAAATTCATGTTCAGCGAACACGACTTCCTCTATTATATAATTCAGGATCACTGAACCCGATTTTCAAAACAAATTTGAATATTTTGTGATTCCTAATCTTGATTTTTTCGGTTCTTCTATGCTAAAATACAAAGGCATATTTTTTTTATTATGTAATACTAGTGTTAAATGATATATATATATATATATATATATATATATATATATATATATATTGCACTTTTCGTTATTGTTGTGTTTTATTTTTGGTTCTGCTTTTCTCAATGACCTTAATGCATGTTTTTTAGTTTTAAACATTTAGTTCCCTTCCTCGCTATTATAAATAGCATTTTATTTAATTAAAATGCAATGTATATTTTTCATTGACGATTGTTTTATGCAGATATGGAGGACATAGAGCATCAACTTACCGGTCCGATGAATGATGAAATGCTCACACTTCAAGCCACTCATCGATCTAGTCGTGTTTGGTCTCATCAGGCTTTCGCAGATAAAAGAGTATCAGTATGTCGGAACGATTCTCGTATTTTAGAAAAATTTAGGGATGACCGGGTTGAGCAAAGTTTGAGAAGGTCTGGGTTTTATGGGGTACATCGGGTCCACCCCATAAAAATAGATCATAGTTTTATTACGGCCCTCGTTGAAAGGTGGAGGCCCGAAGTGTAACACCCTAATCCGTCCAGGTCTGCAGCCCCTTCCGGACTAAAGTATTAACTTGGTAATCGTAAAAATTTAAAACTTTTCAAACACACTTTATTAATCCCAATAATTTTTCATAACATATACAGTACGGAGTATTCAACAATATTGCGGAAGCGAATTTAATTTTGATATATCATAAATCATTTCAAACTTGTCACATCCATCCCGACAATCTTGCCCCATCTGCTGCCAGGATCACAGTGTTCTTTCTGTTGTACCTGCGTGTAGCAAATAAAACACACTACACGCTCAGCGGTAAAGCTGAGTAAGCATATCTAATGCGTCGAACATCCATATAAACTGAATCTAAATTCATAATCAAATCATTTGATATTATGCACACAATGTTCATTTAAGACATTCACAGTTTTGGTATTGTTCAGTTCATATCAACACAATTTATTCAATTCCGATACTATTTCAATAGTGCTCTTAAATTATTCTTAATCTAAGGCCAGATCATAACAACGCTCTTAGCTATTCTTAGTCTAAGGCCAGATCATAATAATGCTCTTAGCTATTCTTAGTCTAAGGCCAAATCATAATTTCCATAATCACATTCTTAAAAGGCAATTATTAATCAGACACTTAAACTATCATTAGTTTAAGGCAA